AAGGAAACAATCAGCGAAATCGCGGCGCTGGCGTTGGCGGGGAGGGCGAGCTGGGTGAGGCGGAGGGCATGCTCCTCGGGGATCTTGAGACTCACCTGCTTCCCAGCAGCCACTTCAACACCGTAGAATCCCTCCATCGTCACCTCGGCGTGAATACTTCTTTAAATAACGGAAATTAGTCCAGAAATAAGCTTTGCTCAACCGAAAATACACCAACAGAAACAAAGGAAATGTGTGCAGAAGCCGGCGAAAAACAGTACCACAGCGACACTTCACCGCCCTCACTACCCAAAAAAAAAAAAAAAAACAAGAAAGCAGTGAGCAGGGTCCTAACCCGTATCTGCCTCAGATCTCATCATAGTTCAGCTATGCGCTAAGGCCGCGCCTCTACGGCCGCCGCCGCCGCCTAGTCCTAGAAGCAGCACCAAAGAAAAGGAGAGAGAGGCGGAGAAGCCGTCTGCGGGGGACGCAGGGGAAAGCAAAAAAGCGCAAAAGACGAGAGGCCGCACATAGAAACAGACAGACAGGAGCCGCCACTATCATTCGTAGCACATCCCAACACCTCACACACAGCGAGAGATTGAAACCCCCGCTGGAAGTCTCTTAGTATCCCTCTCCGCAGAGGGAAGGGGGCGTCAGTTTGTTTTTCTTCAAATGTTTCATGTTTTTTTTCACTTTAAGTTTACTTTATCTTACAATTCGTTTATGCCGCTTACTCCGAAAGTCCCTACAACGACTCCTTAAACAAGTTTACGAGGGAGGGGCAAGACAAAAAAAGAAAAGAAAAAAACAAAGATGTCTACGTGATTAACGTACCTCCTAGTAGCTCTGCTGTGCTCCCTTGCCGCTCCTTCCGTCCCTCCCGCCCACTGAGCCATGACATGAATTCCGTCGCCCGCCACAGCACCACCACATGCACTTGCGCGGTGGGAACGCGGTTCACAACACAAAACGCCCTTCCTTCACTTCCCTGGACGAAGAAATCAAACAAGAAAATGATTCCTGCTTCCCAGCGCGGCGCCTACGTGAGTACTGGACACCGTGCTTTCTCCCTACCCGTTTCCCCGGCCCACCCTTCCTTCCACGCGCTGCGCGGCAGAAGAGGCTCAGCGCCTAATACCGGCCACGGTTACCGCCGCGTCCGCCGCGGAAGCCGCCTCCGCGATCACCGCCGCGTCCGCCACGGAAGCCTCCGCGGTCACCGCCGCGTCCGCCACGGAAGCCTCCGCGGTCACCGCCGCGTCCGCCACGGAAGCCACCGCGATCACCGCCGCGTCCGCCACGGAAGCCACCGCGGTCACCGCCGCGTCCGCCACGGAAGCCGCCGCGATCACCGTCGCGCCCGCCACGGAAGCCACCTCGGTTGCCACCGCGGAACCCACCCTGTTCGGTGCGCTGTATCTTTCTTGGCTGCTCTTCTTCCTCATCCTCGTCGTCGTCCTCGTCCTCCTCGTCGTCGTCGTCCTTCTCAGCATGCACGCCGTCCCCCTCCTCTTCGTCCTCGTCTTCCTCTTCGTCCTCGTCTTCCTCTTCGTCCTCGTCTTCCTCTTCGTCGTCGTCTTCCTCTTCGTCGTCGTCTTCCTCTTCGTCGTCCTCGTCCTCAGCATGCACGCCGTCCACCTCTTCGTCCTCGTCTTCCTCATCCTCCTCCTCTTCGTCGTCTCCGGTGGGGGCGGCGGGCTTGCCATTCTTCTTCTTCGGGACCATCTCCTCCTCCTCATCGTCGTCGAAGTCGTGGCCGGCGAAGCTGTCCACGTCGTCGCCGACAGGCTGGACGTAGCCCGTCACGTGCACGCAGCCCGCACCTGTTGCGGTCAGCGTCGTGGGCTCCGTGAAGACGAGGTCTGTGCTCATCTGGAAGACGTTCCTCTTGGGGTCCAGCGTGGCGATGGTGAACTGCTTCCCCTGGAAGGAAACAATCAGCGAAATCGCGGCGCTGGCGTTGGCGGGGAGGGCGAGCTGGGTGAGGCGGAGGGCATGCTCCTCGGGGATCTTGAGACTCACCTGCTTCCCAGCAGCCACTTCAACACCGTAGAATCCCTCCATCGTCACCTCGGCGTGAATACTTCTTTAAATAACGGAAATTAGTCCAGAAATAAGCTTTGCTCAACCGAAAATACACCAACAGAAACAAAGGAAATGTGTGCAGAAGCCGGCGAAAAACAGTACCACAGCGACACTTCACCGCCCTCACTCCC